TACGCACGGCCGTAAAAAGTCCAAACCTCTCGCAATGAATGGCGAGGTGGCTTGCTTTCTTTGCGGAGTACAACTTCTTCGTGGATAAAAAAACCGGATTACTTAATGTCGTCGCGTACGCGTTGTCGCGCTCGCGCCGATCATACTTCGAGTCGGCTGCGCAATTAACAGTATGTTGACATTACTGGTGCACTAGTCAATAGGATTACGTCGTCACCATTGCTTGACGACATAAAATGGCCTACACAGAAAATAAACTATTCTGCGACTAATGGGTCATCCGGTGACTCCATTTCACAAATTGCTTATATTTAATGGCCTTGTATTGATCTTCCGCGGATCAATACACAGCACGCAACGGTTTGCTGTAATATGCAGCCGTTGCCGGCGACACACCTCGTGTTGTCGTACCCATTTGCAACGATTTGCGCCTGCGCATATTATATAAGTGCTATGAAACACCATCTAGTGGACATTGTGGGCGTGAGAAGACTTATCTCACATTAAGTCGCGAATTTTTCCGGCCCCACTAGTATGTTTTATGCGCAGGTACATTCATGATTTCAAAGTGTGCCAACGGGTGAAACCTAGTCCTTAATTTTGTGCGAAAATACGGCCTCTACCGATTCCGACAGAGTGCTGGCAGTCCGTCTCAATAGACTTCGTCTTCGGTTTCTCCGAAGGCGCTCACAAAAGAGATATTTTCTTCTTTTCATAGACCGATTCAGCAAGATTTTACATGTTGCTGCAATCATTGAGGCAATATTTAGCACATGCTTGTGCTTGTGGCTTTATTTACACGATATTTCGACTCCAAAGTTTACCCTGTGAACTAGTCTCTGGAACAAACCCTCGATTTACGGAGGCGTTCGGCAATCCGTTTTCCAATCCCTCGGAACAGGCCTGAGTATGTCTACTTCTGACCATCAAGAGACAGATAGTCAGACTGAACGCGTCAAACGCACCCTCAAAGAGATACTTCACGGATACGTCCGATCAGATTAGAGCAAATTTTGCCGATGGTGGAGTATGCAATCCACAACTCTATGTATGCATCGGCAACGTGTACACCATTTTTCGTGAACGTCTTACGCCATCCACGCCAACCCTTCCATTTAAAGTGTGACTCCGATTTAAGAGGGGGGGTTGCATAAGCAAAACCCGGGATGGATTTTGCTCATGACGTGTCGAGGCAATCAGCGACGTCAACGTTACCGATGTCCATCAAATCCACATCGGAGCAGATATGGATAGCGATGTTGGAATATTAAGCATCGCCAACGTCTACAATAGCGAGAATGAGAACAACCTCGCTGAGAAAGATGATGGCCTCTTGGCGGTGAGCACAAGGAGAACTGCAACAAATTAAAGTGAGTTAGTAGAAGATTTCATGCTGGCACGAAAAGCAGTATCCGTTTTGTGCAAGACTTCATCGCTACGCGGTGGACCGGCAGGAATTGAACGCTGACAATCGTGGAGACGCAAGCGTTTTCTGTTTCTATATCGGATACTTAGTTCTAATGTCTATGGTAAATCGACCTAAGCACAAAGTAACTAATATGGGTAGTACCCAAGTGCATCGGTCCCTTTAGTGTGGTACATCGCAAAGGCAATGCGTAAATGATCGAGTTGACTTGCAAAATGCGTACGCATCATTTGTTTTATGTCGGGTCGTCTTCACCTGTACGATCAGCACGAGGTCTTTTCCTCGAAATAATGCACTCGCCACGCTTGAGAATATCCAAAAGATTATATTGGTCCAGAGACAGTTTCTTGACTTGGATCTGAAGTTCTCACGACGAATGCCACCCACTTTGTCGCGAAAGGCTTGACGCTTCTGCTCGTTCTGCCAATCAGTAGAAAGCGAACTCCGATCGTTAGTCGGATCGACAAAGCCGGATTCGTTGCACCCACGCCTTCAAAAAGAGACGCTCCTGTCTCTCTTGTTCGGTGCGATCACACAGACTGTGAGAGACTTGCTAGATACGAAAAAGCTCCACCTTCAACTCCAGGAACTATTCGGAGTAATCTCCTCGCCCCCATCATAGCCATAAATGGATTTGTGCGGTGGTCAACACTTTCAATTCAAGCATATCTTGTATTGACATGACGTGAAGGGGTAGCGAACGAGTTAGCTTGTTCACTGGCACGGCTATCCGCCGTCGCACGATAGATGGGGGCCTTCCACCTAGATGATGGATGACGTTGAGTTTCTCGTCCACCAGTACGACGAAACACGTCCGATTTCTTAGAAGGACTATCAAAATACACGCGTCCATGGAGATTGTAGAGCGATTGCAGATTAGCAATCCCATCGCGCGTCGCAACGAGATGTGCTCCTTACCCCAGGGAGAAGATAGGGATGTATATCATTTTGGATTTGTTGAGTGTTTTCGTAACAACACAAATATGTCTCGCTGCATGTGAGGAACAATATTCCTGACTCACGAGACGAATAGTGAACTTGTTTTTTCACTAGTTAAAAATTCGGGTCTCAAACCTAACACGAGCTGTGTCAAGATTCTGAAGCCAATCACCGCGCCTAATGTGTTGCACCATAAGCATAAAGTGGTTCACGCCTGCAGTTTCAAGCTTTTGGCTCGCTTAGTGATGTCACTATACTAACAACAATTCAAAAATCATACAGATAGGTGTCTTCTTCAACGCGAAAGTCACTAGCGCTGATGTCGAGGCCGTGGAACAGTCTCGCATCAAATAATAGAATTTGATGACAAAGACTTGTTTTGTCGGACAGGTCATTCACGAGCCTTTCTGGTGACTCCCAAGGATTGTGTTCAGGGGCTAGACGCAGCATATTGCCGTCTAGAGCCTCCCGCGTGGGATAAACGAAAGTCTTAGTGCCACTAGAATTTTAATTACGGAGATGTAAACCATCACCGTTTTCGCTAGAAGGCGAATGCGCAGCAGAAGGAGTGGAGGATGAGTTAACATTCTCATCCTATAAACTTATCAAACTATAGTAGGAGCCATAAGTCTGACTACCCGCTCTAGTTCTATTTGCAGGCTTGTATCGGGCCACTCCAATAGACCCGGGAGACCTGGGAGTCTACCTTGAGCTGGTCCCGCCATCCAACTCCCCAGAATAGATGAGCTCCACTTGGGGGCCATCATCATTAGCACGTGGTGACTCACCACGTGCATCTACAGCAACTGGTGCTGCAGGAAGTGTTGTAGTGGTAGCAGATGTAGCATCGTCTACCGCGAGAGGATCCGCAACTTTAAGAGCAGCTGCATTAACACGCGCATCTGCCAATTCAGAAGCTTTCGCCGCGCATCGCATGGGTTTAATCACTACGCAATAGATTTCCAGAAATGAATGGATCGGACCAAAACAAGTGTTCAAAATACCTGATGTGGTCGAACGTTGACCACATCAACATGATAGTGATTGAGTGACTATCGTTTAGGTGGGTTGATGTAATGGGGTGAGCCTGTTACATGTAGTTATCCCTTGATACTTGTTGATTGAAATATTGACATAGAGGTAAATTATGTTTGTAAATATCACCATAAAGAATAATATTCAGAAACAATCACCGATTTTGTGATGGGGCTTGTAATCTTGGTTGATGTGTCTTTTATCAGCCAATCTTTGAACAGCATGTGAATATTATCCTAAGGACACCATTCCTTTTATATTACTTATCTCGGGTAATATTAGGAGCAGATTGTCATGTATGATCTACCCCGTCATAAATTGGCTGCTATGGATCATCATATCAGCCAATCATAGCGGTCCATTCAACGATGGATGTGCGCAATGAGTGAGCAAGACTTGAGCATACTTGTTAGTAGATAAGCATATGAGTTAGGACTAACACATTGGTTAAGGATTAGGTATTGTATTTATTGCAGTTTTTCTTTTATCAACAACCAGTCAGTTCCTAGTTGCTCTCCCTTCCTCTGCAAAGATTAGAGAGGTAGCGAGACGCCGCTCTCACTGCTATCGGTTAGAGTAGCTCCGCACTAGTTGTCCAGTGTGTTGCTCCAGTGCCCCATTACAATTCTAGTCGAGAAGGCTGTTGGTGATATAGAGTGTGTCGATGGTACAGAGTGGGATGGTACGAACGAATACACCATGTGAGAGAAACGACACAACTGCATTCTGTGACGAAGAGTATCGACTCATCGTTGAGGTTAGCAGTTTTGTAGCATCGATGTGAATAGGCTTATAGGTAGCACTATCGGACTAAGGACCTAGCTAACATTAATTCACTTTTCATTTATCTTCTTCTTGATGTATTAAATTACAGAACACTTGGTCGACCTCATAACACAAAAATGACGCTGCATCCTGATCATTTGAAGGCTCCTAATTGCATGTCTCAGCGCATAACGACAAAGTCATATGGCACAGTCCCGTGTGCCTTCAGTAACTTTTAGCAGTCTAGTACTTACATATTGTAACGGGGCACCCTGAAGCTTGTACTGATGACAGTACAAGCTACTTATTCTGATGACAGAATAAGGCGGTGCCTCGTAACTTCACGTACACTCGTACGTGCAGAGGAAGACGGTAAGAAGAAGCGAGTACTTGTTGAAAGTAAAAAGTAGAACTGTATTTATAATAGTTAATGTCTGCAAGAAATCACTATTTATCTTCATCTAACTATGTCTAAATACAAATGTGTAAATCAGTTATCTGCTCACCACTCATTGCGTGCGTCTGTCGTGGCGTGTCTTCGTTGGTTGATATAATGGCCTATATCAACCAATTAGGATTTACTCGTAAGTGCTACAGAATATTTGTCCTTATGACAATTTTCTGAAAATATTTCCCTTCTAGTTATAATTCTATTAGCAATTTCTTATAAATTGTTATGTAACGATTCACCCCGTTACATCACCCCCCCTTAACCATCAGTCACTTTAGTGACTGATTGACTAAATGGATACTCGTCCCAAATCATTTGGGACAGGGTTTGCACTTGTTGGTTCGATTCCACTCTCCAACATTTCATCGCATGGTTAACAAGCCCATGCGATGCGCGAGCAAGGCCGCCGAGAGCGCGTCCGCACGTCTCTGTGTGGACGCCGAAGCAGAAACCACAGCAACTGATGCCTCATCGGTTGCTGAAGCGACTCAGCCTGTGTCACTTGGTGATGCAGGCGCTAGTCATGAAGACACTCATGTCTTCACAGAGTACGAGCTCGGTGTCTCATACTCTCCTGATACAGAAGACGGATCCGTATCGACAGCGATTGAATCCAAGCCGCCTGCCAAGCGTGGCATGGATGATGCTATGTGTAGTAGCATCTTTGGTTCATCTGATGAATCAGATGAACCATCGCCGAAGCGAAGGCGCTCGAGGTCGCGAGACTCGGGCGCTAACAGTGGTGTCGGTTCTCCTATTGACACCACTTCACAGCGAGGTGCCAGTACTTCTGTCGGCACGTCGCAGGAAGAGCGGGACCGCAATGTGTTGCGTCTCGCTCCTGAAAAGAAGGCATGGATGCCTCCTAAATCCGTCATGGATCACTTGTCGGCGACGACGAGTGATCGTTATCGAACACGGTTGTTCGATTCGTCAAGGATCCATCACCTTGACCCCAGCGCGAAAAACTATCGCGCTGAACATGAATTCTTCATCGATGCTTTCTTCAAACATCGATGGTACAGTGGGAATCACAAACGTGATGGTCCCTCACTGCTTCAAGCGTGGAGCGCCTACATCCATAACCTCGAGGATGTAGGTCGTGACGCTTGACACGACAAACTTATCAAAGCTCGTGATAAGTTTGAAAAGCGAACCCCGACTGGTGCACGCTACAAGCTGCATCGTCTGTCAAGGGAGAAAGGGTTACCCTGCCTCTCCTGGGGAGACTCGTGCCCATGTTGTGTGAACGACTCTGCACGAGCACCTAAGGAGGCTTACCTCCTTACTAGCCCGTGGTGGCGCGTACGTGTCTCTACTGAGATGTACGAAGGGATTGACAACCTAAAATCCCTTTACGACCGTGCCGGGAAGACTTTCTCCGGCGGTCCTTCTGCGGCACAGGATGTGCCGCGTCGTACTGCTCAACCAGACCCAGTACGTCAACCATCAGTTGGGAGCGGGGCTCCCAAGTATCCCAGGACGGGGGATAGCCGCGCCACCGGACGAGATAACTCGTCCGACGTCCGTTCACGTCGCGGTGGTTCAACAGCTGCTCAACTAGATAGCGCTGGCCACCGCGAGAGTCCTCTAATGGAGGTGGTGGAGGAGGAAAGACGCTCTCCACACGATCATGTGGATCGGTGTGTTCCTGAGAGCTTCTTTGATAGCGTAACGCAAGGGTTACGCGACGATCTCGAGCATGAGCGGAATAGGCGTCTCCAAATGGCGGACACTGCCTCGAAGCATCGAGCTGAGTTTGCCTTTGCTCAGCTTGAGAACGAGAGATCTCTGACATCTCTTCGTGACGAGCTAAGGGTAGCTCGTGGGATTGTTGATCGGTCTCGGGATGAGATAGCTGCTCTTCAGACCCTTGTTGATGCCCACCATCGGGAGCACAAGGCTCTCTGCGAGATGCTTGAGCGCAAGGGCGTTCTTCATCGGAAGAAGCAGCGTACTGGTGGTACGGCTTAAGCCGACCAACGTAAAACGTGGGATGCGTTCGCATCTTACGTGGTAACTCGATCGTGTATGCATTGCCTAGGCGGTGCAATACACGAAATGGGCCAATGTACTTGGGTAGTGGTTTACTGCTACCCAAGTTAGTCACTACATGTTTTGGTAGATTAACCGTAGACAGTAGGACTAAGTCACCTTTATTAAATAAAGAGTGTTTGCCCTTCCATTCTTGTCAGCGTTTTGCTTTTGCTTATCCACCGCTTCGGCGATGGAGTCTTGCACAAAACGGACTACCGTTTCACGAGCCAGTATGAACTCATCTGCTGGCTCGTTAGCTTCAGTGCGCTGTGAGCGCACTGCAGCAACAACAATCTTTTCTTCAGTGAGGGCTTCCGCACTCTAACTGGCATCATCTTCTTCAGTGAGGGCTTCCGCACTCTCACTGGCATCATATTCTTCGATATCGATGTTATCGATATCGGCATCAAACGCAATGACCTCTTCGTCAGAGCGTGATGAGCGTGAACCAAATCGGTTTTTGCTCGCGCGAGTCCCTCCCCCCCTTAAACCAGAGTCACACTCTAGTAAGGTGGGTACACGCGGATGGCGTAAGCCATTCACGTAAAACGGTGTATGTGTCGTGGACGCATGCACCGAGTTGTTGATGGCAAACTCTACCATTGGCAAGAACTCACTCCAACACTTAAAGGAGTGTACGTATCCTCGATGTATCTCTTCGAGGACACGATTGGCACGTTCCGTCTGACCATCTGACTCTGGATGATCAGATGTCGACATCTTCAAGCGCGTACCGAGTGATTTGAACACGGAACGCCAGAAATCAGCAGTGGATCGTGGATCTCTGTCTGATACGAGTTCACGGGGCAACCCATGAAGTCGAAAGATGGTGTCAATAAAGACACAAGCACAGCCACTTACCGTGATTGACTCTGGTACAGCCACAAGGTGCACCATTTTGCTGAATCTGTCAACAAATACGAGAATACCCGTATTCCCGCGTGCGTCTTTGGGTAACCCGAAGACGAAATCCATTGAGACGGATTCCCAGCACTCATCCGGAACCGGTAGAGGCTGTAAAGGTGCACGCAGTGAAGGACTTGACTTCACTCGTTGACAGACTTCGCATGCGCGAACATACTTTCGCACAAACTGATACTGGCGGGGCCAGTAAAAGTCTCGACTTACCGTGAGATATGTTTTCTCTCGGCCACGATGTCCTCCTATAGGAGCATCGTGATACTCGAACATGATCCGCAAACGCAGATCAGTATCATCAGGAATGACAACACGTGGTGTGTCACCAGAAACGGCTGTATAGTACAGTAAACCGTTACGAGTAGTGTATCGATCTGATGCAGATCGATACGCAGACGAAAATCGTTCCAACGATTCTCGAGACGGTTGGGAGAGATGTGTCAACAACTTCACAATCTCACCATCTTGGGCGTATGCCCGCCTCACATCATCGTACAACGTTGTAGATGGGACTGAGGACGTCATAACCGCAACAGTGACTGTCTCACTGTTGGGTTTCACGACTGTTTCAAAGTCGGGACGACGTGAGAGTGCATCAGCGACGACATTAAGTCGTCCTGGTTTGTACTCGACCGTAAAGTTGTATTCTGCAAAGAATGACAACCACCGCGCCATTCGTTGTGAAAGGTGCGGGCTGTTCACTGCCGTGCGTAATGACGCATGGTCAGTGTAAATAACGAAGGGTCTATCTCCTAATAGATAGACTCTGAACTTCGCGAGTGCATAATTCATGGCAAGGAGTTCCTTGTCATGCACTGGATAGTTCCGCTCAGCTGATCGCAGCTGACGCGACTGGTAGCAGACGACTCGTTCAACGCCTTCAAGGTCGTACTGCATTAATGCACAGCCGATTGCGAAATCGCTGGCATCACAGACCACATGAAATGGCCTGTCCTGATCGGCAATTGCTAGGACTGGGGATTGTATCAAGCTCTTCTTGATACCCTCAAAGGAGCGCTGGCATTCAGCGTTCCGTAACCACCTCTCGTTCTTTTTCAACAAACGAAAGAGGTGCACAGTCATCTCGGCATAATTGCGTGAATACTTGTGCAAATACGCCGCTAGCCCAAGGAATTTTCGAAGACCTTTGACATCGACTGGCACAGGCCAGTCGGTGATCGCCTTGATCTTTTCGGGATCAGGACGTACACCGTTCTTACCAACGATGCACCCAAGAAGTGGTATTTCGCTTGCTGCAAATATACACTTCTTGAGGTTTGCATACAATTGATGCTTTCGCATGATTGTAAGAACCTGTCGGAAGTGGTACCTGTGAACCTCAACGTCCGACTTTCCATCCATAGCTCGACTATGGATGAATACGTCATCGAAATACCTCGGCGCGAATTCTCGTACTGGTCTCAACAGATGTGATACACATCTGTTGAACGTGGCAGGGGCATTACTAAGCCCTTGTGGCATTACTAGCCATTCCCAGAGCATGCCGCTAGGCGTGCTAACTGCTGTATAGGGTATATCCCGTTGTCGCATAAGGATTTGATAGAAGCCATCCATCAAATCCATGGACGAAAAGATGGTACTCTTTGACATACCATCAATGATTACGTCCTTCCTCGGTATCGGCGTCTGTGCCGGTACCGTTGCAGCATTCAACTTATTGAATGCATGCACTATCCGCCACCCTCCTGTATCTTTTCGCACACAGAAGGTCGGAGATCTAGTTGGGGAAGTTGATTCCCTCACATGGCCCGTAGCTAAACAATCGGCAAAGAACTTGTCGATCGCAAGTACTTGTTCACGAGGCAGTGGCCACTGCTTCATGACACAGTACTTCGAGCCTGGTTTAAGCTCGACCTCGTGTCGAATACCTTCGTCCTTCGGTAATTTGCACGGAACAGTTTCAGGGAATACATCCTTGAATTCAACCAAATCTTCATAGAGAGGATTTGTATTGAGCGATTCCCACGATTGGGAGTCATATCGCTCAATTCGTGTCTTTTCATCTAGGACACTCTCTTCCATAGATGAACTACTGAGAACTCTCTCGTTCTCAGTAAACACTGTTGCTGACCTTATGTCGGCCACACACTCGTCGTCAGCGACGAGTACGCATATCTGCTTGACTTTGCCACTACGCAGATCACGCAAGAACCTTTTATGTTCGAGCGTTGGCAACTGAGTGATCTCCGAAGTCAACTTCGGAGGCGCAATCAGATCAAGTGTATAAGCGCCTACACATGATCCATCATTGACTATGACATTCAATGTCCTGTCACTTCCTGGGGACTTATTCCCTCAGGCTTCGAAGGACTTATTCCTTCGGCTTCCCGGGGACTTATTCCCGCGGGTTTCGGGGAACTTATTTACACCGTATTTGTATTATCGGGACTTATTCCCTTTACTTCCTCTAGCTGTGGTTGCGCAACCACAGCGAGATCCTCTACGAAAGACTCTCCAGTCGATCTAGGATTATCGTTTCACTTAACCTGAGTGATTGATTGTTTCTCTTCTAGATGTTCCCCGCTAGGGATACATCTTTGTCCCGGTCCACTCGACTTATTCGAGTGGTGGACCTTCGGCGCAGCCTGTGTTTCCTCACAGCCGCCGGAACTTTGCTCCGAAGTGTAACCGTTTGTTACACTAAGGTTTTGTGCAGTCGTACTAACGACCGTACCACAAGTGAGGCCATCGCACTCACTCGTAGTACATCCACACGCTTGTGGACGCTCCAAAACGTTCATCAGATGGCCATCTGATGAACAAGCGGCAGGCATCGTTACTGTCCGATGTTGCCAGTTTACCCGTGGTTCGTACCTTCTGAGCCACGGTATTCCAAGGATGACATCAAATTTGTCATCCAAATCCAATACGATAAAGTCATCGTCATATTGGGTATCTTCTAGCGTATAGTGGATCTTCACTATACGCTTCGTGACGGTTACGGATGCGCCTGTCGCAAGACGTACCGTCATCCTAGTAGGAGGTGTGTCACATTCAACAAACTTGAAGTGACCATCTGCTAGCGATTGGCGTCGCACAATATTGTTGGACGCCCCACAATCGACTAGAGCTCGAAGGGACAACTTATTCGTCACTTCGAGTTTCAAGGTAATGAGTGAGTCCTCATTACCTAGAGCAGCAACGCACAACGTTTGTGCGTTGGGAGCAACCTTCATCAAAAAACCTACAAACTCTCTTGACGTTGCTGGACCAGTAGGGTACTCCGCACCTACTGATCCTGACCGTTTTTTGACGGTCCATCCCGTTGTTGCGTCTTTGCACCAACAGCGGACCCGCGTCCCTGCCCCTTTCTCATGGGTGGACGGTCACTACGCCCAGTGTCGCGAGACACTGGACGAGGGGCACTACACTCATAAGCGTAGTGTCCTGTCTTTTGACATCTGTTGCATCTCTGGAACTTCTTGTAGCCTGTAGAGCGAGCTTTCTCGCTCTCTACATAACAGAGTCCTATCGGCTCTGGACCTCCGTTGTCATATCGTCTCGGTTGACGATATGATGTCGAGCTGGCGCGAGCCTGTCTCAGACTGAAGTCTTCCTGCTCCGCAATGGAAATGGCTTGTTCTAGTGAATCGAGTTCAAGCCGGAACAGGTGAGTCTTGACGGGACCATCCGCAAGACCCTGCATGAACACCGAAACCAACGTGTGTTCATCCACCGGATTGGAACTTATACAACTCGTGAGATGTCGTATATGTTGAGCGTAAGCGTGCACATCACGCTTACCCTGCTTGAGCTTCAAGAGTTCAGTTCGAGCTCTGAACTCAGCTCTAGGCGGTTCAAACGTTTGTCTGAGCCGCGACTTGAAGACTTCCAACGACCCAAACGCATATGGGTCGTGCAACTTGAGCCCCAGTGCCCAAGTCTTGTCACGTCCTGCCAGATTTGACTGTGCAAATGCAACTTGCATTTGCCCATCGTCGATGCGACGCGCCCTTATGGCGTCATCCAATTCGAAGAACCATCTCAAGAGGGAGTCTTCTTCGACCCCCCTATACTTGGAGATGTCAATCTTCAAGGTTTCGGGTCGACGCGAGTGCATCGACCCGCCAGCAGCAGCCTGCTGCTGTCTCAACAGTTCAAACTGTTGAACACCCTGTTCTCTCAACAACTCTGCTTGTTGAGAACCTTGTTGGTGAAGCAAGGCTACTTTCTCGCGTTCAGCGTCAAGTTCATTTTGAATGAACTTGGCGATAGTAGCATGTTGGGCATCTCAATTGAGAGCCTCTCGCATGACGCTAACAGCATGGATGCCCATGGTCGAACCCATTCGTTCAACCGCATCAAATTCGACATCTCTCAAATGGGAGTAGCCGTCACGCGTAGCGTGAAAGCTTTGGTCATCTTCATCATCCAACATATTCATGTTGGATGTGAACGCGGTCCTTGGACGGACTACGAAGTGCTACCAGGTGTAACGGGGCACCCTGAAGCTTGTACTGGTGACAGTACAAGCTACTTATTCTGATGACAGAATAAGGCGGTGCCTCGTAACTTCACGTACACTCGTACGTGCAGAGGAAGACGGTAAGAAGAAGCGAGTACTTGTTGAAAGTAAAAAGTAGAACTGTATTTACCATAGTTAATGTCTGTTAATAAATCACTATTTATCCTCATCTAACTATGTCTGAATACAAATGTGCATATCAACTATCTGCTCACCACTCATCGTTGCGTGCGTCTGTCGTGGCGCGTCTTCGTTGGTTGGTATAATGGCCTATATCTGCCAAATTAGGAACTACTCGTAAGTGCTGCAGAATATTTGTCCTTATGACAATATTCTGAGAATCTAACTCTTTTAGTTATATTCTATTAACAATTTCTTGTAAATTGTTATGCAACGATTCACCCCGTTACACAAATGATTACTGGCTGTTACCCCATTATATCGCATGCAAAGGTCATCTGTATCCGTATACCTTTTGCAACTAGTTCGAGATAAAACCCAGCTATAAACTACATGCAAAGTGAGCGATCGATAAAACCCAAGTGGAACAAGTCACTATCACCATTAATACGTTTGTCGTAATGGATCCGCACGGGTTTCAGCAAAAGCTGGCGCTGGTCGAGAGCACCCAGACCCGTGACAGCTGCATCGAGTTGCTCCGTTACGTTCGCAAAGAGAAGTTGCGTGAGTCTCGCGCCGTTTCGCGCGTTGGAAAGCTGCTAGTGACCCAGCATCGCCGTGGACTCGGCGATGAAGGTAAGTGTGTTGAAACGTACAGTGCGAAGGTTATTTTACGTGTTTTAGCGCTAAAAATGCGCTCTATTCCTTCTGTCGTATCCCATAGTGTGGACGGTATACGAGCAGACGTTCATCGCTGCTCTGGACGTGCACGATGACGAGCTGTCCGAGGTAAAAAGCCGAGACGCTGTTTCTTGTGGCCCCATTTGAGCCTATTTACCATATCTTCTCCAAATTGCGCTGGTTTTACCATATCTTCTGTTTAAACAGACTTGTCTCAAGGCGCTTCAAGGCCAATTCCCTGGTAGCTCTCGGGTCGCAAGGCTCGAAGGCATGCAGCTGGAGCAGCGAAACGAGTTTACCAAGGCACTGACGTTATACGACCAGCTGCTGGACGCCAATCCGGCCAATGCCCTGGTGTTCAAACGCAAAATCGCAGTGCTTAAGGCGCAAAAAAAGACGATGGATGTTATCGCGGCGCTAAATGAATTCCTACGCTGCTTTGGGACCGATCAGACGGCTGTATGTGTGGCAGTTGCTGTAGTTGCAAAAGCGTTGAAACAGCCACCACAGGTGTTGACGATCACGTATCTTTACCGTGTTTATACGTACTTGTAGTGGACGGAGCTGGGAGAGACGTATCTGTCGATTGGCACGTATCGCTACGCTGCCTTCTGCTACGAAGAGCTGGTGCTGTTGAACCCCATGGACGCTATTTACCATAGTCGACTGGCTGATGTACGTCGAAATGCGACGTGGATGTTGGACTTGTCGATAGTGAACATTTGCTCTCTTCATCTGTAGATCTACTCAACGATCGGTGGTCTGGACAGTTTACTGAAGGCGCGCAAGCACTACGCCCACTCGCTTGAGCTGAATAAAAAGCAAAACCTCCGAGCCTACTTTGCCCTCGTGATTTGCACAAAGGCAATTGCAATGCAGCGCGGCTACCGTGCGGATCAAGACGATGCTGGAATGAACGAGCGGCTGCAGACGTTTGCATTGAACAGCATTCAGGACATTTATGCTGCCTCCTCGACTCCTGATCTCGCTGAGATTGGTACGTGATCAGCACATTGGAACAACTTGCGAGTTGCTTGATCTAATTGGCGGGACGTATTGCTCTACTTGTTTTTTTCAGCGCAAGCGACGATCAGGGCTCTGTAGATGCTTAGATGTCTGCAAGCCAGCAACGCAATATACTATTGGGGATTGGTTTCGTCAGTGTGTATGTGCTGACCAATAGAGGTGTGTTTTCCAGATCCACGCTGCTGTACCATGTAGTTTGCATGAGCGAACACTTGAATACCGTATTGGTTGTTCTAAGCTCCCATTAATCTAGCGTGCGCGCTGCTCCATACGCCACAGCAAGATCCGGATCAATGTCCGAGAGTGGTGCGCGACCTTGGAACATGAGTGTAAGACGCTCGCGCACCCACGGGATTCGCGACGAGCCTCCTACCAATACAACTGCATCGATCTCTTCGGATTCCATGTTGTTGGCCTCAAGCACCTTACGCACTGGAATCATTGTGCGCTCCAGCAACGACCCACATAGCACTTCGAATTGTACTCTTGTCATTTCAACTGTTGCTCGAGTCTTAGCCACCGCCTGCGATTCAGCGCCATCCCATACACAAGAGGCGCTGGCAGTAGGAGCATCAGTAAGCTGTCTCTTGAGGAACTCGGCAGCACGGCGGACACCAGTAAGTGTACACGGCAGCTCTTTATCGTCATTGCCATGCCCATCAGCATCAGTCCCACGTGACGAAATCGGGCTGCCAAGCTGTGCTTCGAATTCCTTGACTAGCCATGCTGCCAACAGTGCATCCAAATCCTCACCTCCGAGATAATTGTCTCCCAGCGTGTCGAGCACAGTAATAGCTCCGTTCCGAGCAAAGAGCAGCGAGACGTCCAGCGTGCCTCCTCCAAAGTCAAAAACGAGCAGAAAACTCACGCTTGGGTCTTGGTGCAGGCCATAGGCGATCGCCGCAGCAGTCGGTTCTTCCAGCACACGAGATACCTCCAATCCTGCGGCACGAAAGGACGCCACAGTGTCGTTACGTTGCTTCGCATCAAAGTCCACTGGCACTGCAATAACTGCCTTTGTGATCTGGTCGTGACCAACAAAGCGGTGTGCCATATCGCGAAGATGCCGCACGATTTTGCTACCGATTTCAACGGGTGTTATGCAATCAGGGTGGCCATCCAAATTGATTGCAAAGCAGACTCCATCGTGGTCGTGGTCTCGCAGCGCTTTGACGCTGAATTCGTACGGCATCACACCGTCTGCATCAGCCTCTGAATTTAGAACTTCTTCGTACCTGGGATTTATAACGACGAGATTAGTTCTCTGTACAGCTTCATGTATGTTTTTTCCAGTTGTTCCTTCACCTTCGACCAATGAACCGTTTCGCATTAAAAATAGTGTGTCGAGGGTCCGTTGCGCCGTGGTCTCGTGCCTTTCGGCCTATTAATACACCTAAAGAAACAACACATTTTCATACTGAAGATTTCAGACAAGACATATGAAGCATAAAAATATCTAAATATTACTGACAAACCTCCATTGGACAGGAATGCAACTGTGGACGGCACTAATGTATAACCATCACTGTCTGCAATTGAAGTCACGTTGCCCTTCTGACAAATGGCGACGACCGAGTACGTCGTGCCCAAGTCAATGCCCACCACTAGCATCACATAACCAGTTAGTCCCGCATGTCAGATAGTATAATACTGCTGTAACTACGAATTGTAGTAATGTATGACTACTCGTACTACTACTACTATCACTACTTGGACTTGTACAGTATACATATAGTTTCGACAGGTGACTGTACCGTGATCGCGACCAGTGAATCCATGACGGGCAAGCAAAGCGGCAATGACGGCAAAGAAGCCGCCAAGCAACAGCAAAAGAGACCCGACGTCTACTTGGCCCCGTCTAGAGGGTGCAACACGATGGGGCCTTGAGTGTTCTGACGCCATTAAACCGACTATACAGCCACGTCAGCTTGACGAGAACGACGAGCTTGCCGATTGGCTACATGTAGTACCTGCTATCGCTTATACTGATATTACTAAATACGGGACACGTGTAGCCTGATATTTGTATGGTAGATGGAAATATTTCTGCCTACCGGCTGAAGGAAGTCTGATGCTACGATCTGCGAACGAAGCTATAGTCACAGATTAGCTATGCTGATAGAATGGAATCGAAAGCTAAACACGACTTTTGAAGTAGGTGTCTTTTCATGCTCACATCTATCACTTTCATATGTGCAATCTGTTGAAGTTGAGCATCTGGGTGACAATTTACGGATGGCGTCGACTGGCAGATGTGTCAGTCTTGCATGGATGATGAGTGCAGTTGGTACAAATTCCACGTCGTTATGGCTTAGACAGCACGATGATTATGGAAGAGAAGAGCTGGAAAGGTCACAAGATCTGTCGTTTAACAGGATAGGATAGGGGAGCAAGCTCTGGAGCTCACCCTTTGATATAAGTAATCTAGTTAGAAGAACTGAATTAAGTTGCAGTACCCTATGCTACAGCGGTCACCAGAGAATGAGTGTGATGATGTTCTTGTCTACAACTTTACATAGTGCAGTACACTCAAGCATCGCGATCAGCCTTTGTTTATGAGCGTCCAGCATTTGCTTATGTAATCATATTCACCTTTGATCGATTTTAAGCCCATCGCAAGCAGCCATTGTCACTCTTTGGCTAGGTCACTATTAAACCGCAATAGTGACCTAGCTATAGGGTGACACCTATCGTGCTAGTCGACCTATGAGGATGACAGGCTAGAGCGTATTTAGTACGTGTATGGTACGACCAGCCGCGTGATTTATAGACAAACACACACATGTAAGTACAATTTAAAAGTTCGGCATTCAATCTTGAGAGATTTATGCCGCGCGGTCCTTCAGATCGCCCTGGGGTGAACTGCGAGTACTCTGACTCAGTTTGAACCCCTTACACGACCCGCACCCCTCATTACACTGTAGAGCTTTTCCGCCTGTAGGGCCTCCGGACGGCACCGGCCACTCATTGGTGGTTGCTCGTCTACATTATTAGTGTAAAGGGGTGAATCGTTGCATAACAATTTATAAGAAATTGCTAATAGAATATAACTATAAGAGTTATATTCTCAGAATATTGTCATAAGGACAAATATTCTGTAGCACTTACGAGTAAATCCTAATTGGTTGATATAGGCCATTATATCGACCAACGAAGACACGCCACGACAGACGCACGCAACGATGAGTGGTGAGCAGATAGTTGATATGCACATTTGTATTCAGACATAGTTAGATGAGGATAAATAGTGGTTTATTAACAGACATTAACTAAGATAAATACAGTTCTACTTTTTACTCTAACCAAGTACTCGCTTCTTCTTACCGTCTTCCTCTGCACGTACGAGTGTACGTGAAGTTACGAGGCACCGCCTTATTCTGTCATCAGAATAAAGAGCTTGTACTGTCACCAGTACAAGCTTCAGGGTGCCCCGTTACACCTGGTAGCACTTCGTAGTCCGTCCAAGGACCGCGTTCACATCCAACATGAATATGTTGGATGATGAAGATGACCAAAGCTTTCATGCTACGCGTGACGGCTACTCCCATTTGAGAGATGTCGAATGGGATGCGGTTGAACGAATGGGTTCGACCATGGGCATCCATGCTGTTAGCGTCATGCGAGAGGCTCTCAATAGAGATGCCCAACATGCTACTATCGCCAAGTTCATTCAAAATGAACTTGACGCAGAACGCGAGAAAGTAGCCTTGCTTCACCAACAAGGTTCTCAACAAGCAGAGTTGTTGAGAGAACAGGGTGCTCAACAGTTTGAACTGTTGAGACAGCAGCAGGCTGCTGCTGGCGGGTCGATGCACTCGCGTCGACCCGAAACCTTGAAGATTGACATCTCCAAGTATAGGGGGGTCGAAGAAGACTCCCTCTTGAGATGGTTCTTCGAATTGGATGACGCCATAAGGGCGCGTCGCATCGACGATGGGCAAATGCAAGTTGCATTTGCGCAGTCAAATCTGGCAGGACGTGACAAGACTTGGGCACTGGGGCTCAAGTTGCACGACCCATATGCGTTTGGGTCGTTGGAAGTCTTCAAGTCGCGGCTCAGACAAACGTTTGAACCGCCTAGAGCTGAGTTCAGAGCTCGAACTGAACTCTTGAAGCTCAAGCAGGGTAAGCGTGATGTGCACGCTTACGCTCAACATATACGACATCTCACGAGTTGTATAAGTTCCAATCCGGTGGATGAACACACGTTGGTTTCGGTGTTCATGCAGGGTCTTGCGGATGGTCCCGTCAAGACTCACCTGTTCCGGCTTGAACTCGATTCACTAGAACAAGCCATTTCCATTGCGGAGCAGGAAGACTTCAGTCTGAGACAGGCTCGCGCCAGCTCGACATCATATCGTCAACCGAGACGATATGACAACGGAGGTCCAGAGCCGATAGGACTCTGTTATGTAGAGAGCGAGAAGGCTCGCTCTACAGGCTACAAGAAGTTGCAGAGATGCAACAGATGTCAAAAGACAGGACACTACGCTTATGAGTGTAGCGCCCCTCGTCCAGTGTCTCGCGACACTGGGCGTAGTGACCGTCCACCCATGAGAAAGGGGCAGGGACGCGGGTCCGCTGTTGGTGCAAAGACGCAACAACGGGATGGACCGTCAAAAAACGGTCAGGATCAGTAGGTGCGGAGTACCCTACTGGTCCAGCAACGTCAAGAGAGTTTGTAGGTTTTTTTATGAAGGTTGCTCCCAACGCACAAACGTTGTGCGTTGCTACTCTAGGTAATGAGATCTCACTCATTACCTTGAGACTCGAAGTGACGAATAAGTTGTACCTTCGAGCTCTAGTCGATTGTGGGGCGTCCAACAATATTGTGCGACGCCAATCGCTAGAAGATGGTCACTTTCAATTCAGTGAATGTGACACACCTCCTACGAGGATGACGGTACGTCTTGCGACAGGCGCATCCGTAACCGTCATGAAGCGTATAGTGAAGATCCACTATACGCTAGAAGATACCCAATACGACGATGACTTTATCGTATTGGATTTGGATGAAAAATTTGATGTCATCCTTGGAATACCGTGGCTCAGAAGGTACGAACCACGGGTAAACTGGCAACATCGAACAGTAACGATGCCTGCCGCTTGTTCATCAGATGGCCATCTGATGAACGTTTTGGAGCGTCCACAAGCGTGTGGATGTACTACGAGTGAGTGCGATGGCCTCACTTGTGGTACGGTCGTTAGTACGACTGCACAAAACCTTAGTGTAACAAACGGTTACACTTCGGAGCAAAGTTCCGGCGGCTGTGAGGAAACACAGGCTGCGCCGAAGGTCCACCACTCGAATAAGTCGAGTGGACTGGGACAAAGATGTATCCCTAGCGGGGAACATCTAAAAGAGAAACAATCAATCGCTCAGGTTAAGCGAAACGATAATCCTAGATCGACTGGAGAGTCTTTCGTAGAGGATCTCGCTGTGGTTGCGCAACCACAGCTAGAGGAAGTAAAGGGAACAAGTCCCGATAATACAAATACGGCGTAAATAAGTTCCCCGAACCCCGAGGGAACAAGTCCCTGGGAAGCCGAAGGAATAAGTCCTTCGAAGCCTGAGTGAATAAGTCCCCAGGAAATGACAGAGACATTGAATGTCATAGTCAATAACGGATCAAGTGTAGGCGCTTATACACTTGACCGGATTGCGCCTCCGAAGTTGACTTCGGAGATCACTCAGTTGCCAACGCTCGAACATAAAAGGTTCTTGCGTGATCGGCGTAGTGGCAAAGTTAAGCAGATCTGCTTACTCGTCGCTGACGACGAGTGTGTAGCCGACATAAGGTCAAAAACAGTGTTTACTGAGAACGAGAGAGTTCTCAGTAGTTCATCTATGGAAGAGAGTGTCCTAGATGAAAAGACACGAATTGAGCGATATGACTCCCAATCATGGGAATCGCTCAAGACAAATCCTCTCTATGAAGATTTGGTTGAATTCAGGATGTATTCCCTGAAACTGTTCCGTGCGAATTACCGAAGGATAAAGGTATTCGATACGAGGTCGAGCTTAAACCAGGCTCGAAGTACTGTGTCATGAAGCAGTGGCCACTGCCCCGTGAACAAGTACTTGCGATCGACAAGTTCTTTGCCGGTCGTTTAGCTGCGGGCCATGTGAAGGAATCTACTTCCCCACATAGCTCTCCGACCTTCTGTGTGCGAAAAGCAACAGGAGGGTGGCGGATAGTGCACGCGTTCAACAAATTGAATGCTGCAACGGTATCGGCGTCTGAGCCGATACCGAGGAAGGACGTAATCATTGATGGTATGTCAAAGAGTACCATCTTTTCGTCCATGGATTTGATGGATGGCTTCTATCAAATCCTTATGCGAGAACGGGATGTACCCTATACCGCAGTTAGCACGCCTAGCGGCGTGCTCTGGGAATGGCTAGTAATGCCACAAGGGCTTAGTAATGCCCCTGCCACGTTCAACAGATGTGTATCACATCTGTTGAGACCAGTACGAGAATTCGCGCCGAGGTATTTCGATGACGTATTCATCCATAGTCGGGCTATGGATGGAAAGTCGGACGTTGAGGTTCACAGGTACCACGTCCGACAGGTCCTTACAATCATGCGAAAGCATCAATTGTATGCAAACCTCAAGAAGTGTACATTTGCCGCAAGCGAACTACCACTTCTTGGGTGCATCGTTGGTAAGAACGGTGTACGTCCTGATCCCGAAAAGATCAAGGCGATCACCGACTGGCCTGTGCCGGTTGATGTCAAAGGTCTTCGAAAATTCCTTGGGCTAGCGGCGTATTTGCATAAGTATTCACGTAATTACGCCGAGATGACTGTGCACCTCTCTCGTTTGTTGAAAAAGAACGAGAGGTGGTTATGGAACGCTGAATGTCAACGCTCCTTTGAGGGTATCAAGAAGAGCTTGATACAATCCCCAGTCCTAGCAATTGCCGATCAGGACAGGCCATTTCATGTGGTCTGTGATGCCAGCGATTTCGCAATCGGCTGTGCATTAATGCAGTACGACCTTGAAGGCGTTGAACGAGTCGTCTGCTACCAGTCGCGTCAGCTGCGATCAGCTGAGCGGAACTATCCAGTGCATGACAAGGAACTCCTTGCCATGAAGTATGCACTCGCGAAGTTCAGAGTCTATCTATTAGGAGATAGACCCTTCATTGTTTACACTGACCATGCGTCATTACGCACGGCAGTGAACAGCCCGCACCTTTCACAACGAATGGCGCGGTGGTTGTCATTCTTGGCGGAATACAACTTTATGGTCGAGTACAAACCAGGACGACTTAATGTCGTCGCTGATGCACTCTCACGTCGTCCCGACTTTGAAACAGTCGTGAAACCCAACAGTGAGACAGTCACTGTTGCGGTTATGACGTCCTCAGTCCCATCTACAACGTTGTACGATGATGTGAGGCGGGCATACGCCCAAGATGGTGGGATTGTGAAGTTGTTGACACATCTCTCCCAACCGTCTCGAGAATCGTTGGAACGATTTTCGTCTGCGTATCGATCTGCATCAGATCGATACACTACTCGTAACGGTTTACTGTACTATACAGCCGTTTCTGGTGACACACCACGTGTTGTCATTCCTGATGATACTGATCTGCGTTTGCGGATCATGTTCGAGTATCACGATGCTCCTATAGGAGGACATCGTGGCCGAGAGAAAACATATCTCACGGTAAGTCGAGACTTTTACTGGCCCCGCCAGTATCAGTTTGTGCGAAAGTATGTTCGCGCATGCGAAGTCTGTCAACGAGTGAAGTCAAGTCCTTCACTGCGTGCACCTTTACAGCCTCTACCGGTTCCGGATGAGTGCTGGGAATCCGTCTCAATGGATTTCGTCTTCGGGTTACCCAAAGACGCACGCGGGAATACGGGTATTCTCGTATTTGTTGACAGATTCAGCAAAATGGTACACCTTGTGGCTGTACCAGAGACAATCACGGCAAGTGGCTGTGCTTGTGTCTTTATTGAAACCATCTTCCGACTTCATGGTTGCCCCGTGAACTCGTATCAGACAGAGATCCACGCTTCACTGCTGATTTCTGGCGTTCCGTGTTCAAATCACTCGGAACGCGCTTGAAGATGTCGACATCTGATCATCCAGAGTCAGATGGTCAGACGGAACGAGCCAATCGTGTCCTCGAAGAGATACTTCGAGGATACGTACACTCCTTTAAGAGTTGGAGTGAGTTTTTGCCAATGGTAGAGTTTGCCATTAACAACTCGGTGCATGCGTCCACGACACATACACCGTTTTACGTGAATGGCTTACGCCATCCGCGTGTACCCACCTTACTAGAGTGTAACTCTGGTCTAAGGGGGGAGGGACTCGCGCGAGCAAAAACCGATTTGGTTCACGCTCATCGCGCTCTGAAGAAGAGGTCATTGCGTTTGATGCCGATATCGATAACATCGATATCGAAGAAGATGATGCCAGTGAGAGTGCGGAAGACCTCACTACAGAAAAGATTGATGTTGTTCCAGTGCATTTACAGCTCACTGAAGCTAACGAGCCAGCAGATGAGTTCATACTGGCTCGTGAAACGATAGTCCGGTTTGTGCAAGACTCCATCGCCGAAGCGGTGGATAAGCAAAAGCAAAATGCTGACAAGAATGGAAGGGGAAACACTCTTTTATTTAATGAAGGTGACTTAGTCCTACTGTCTACGGTTAATCTACCAAAACATGTAGTGACTAACTTGGGTAGCAGTAAACTACTACCCAAGTACATCGGCCCATTTCGTGTATTGCACCGCCTAGGCAATGCATACACGATCGAGTTACCACGTAAGATGCGAACGCATCCCACGTTTTACGTTGGTCGGCTTAAGCCGCACCATCAGTACGCTGCTTCTTCTGATGAAGAACGCCCTTGCGCTCAATCATCTCGCAGAGAGCCTTGTGCTCCCGATGGTGGGCATCAACAAGGATCTGAAGAGCAGCTATCTCATCCCGAGACCGATCAACAATCCCACGAGCTACCCTTAGCTCGTCACGAAGAGATGTCAGAGATCTCTCGTTCTCAATCTGAGCAAAGGCAAACTCAGCTCGATGCTTCAAGGCAGTGTCCGCCATTTGGAGACGCCTATTCCGCTCATGCTCGAGATCGTCGCGTAACCCTTGCGTTACACGATCAAAGAAGCTCTCGGGAACACACCGATCCACATGATCGTGTGGAGAGCGTCTTTCCTCCTCCTCCACCTCCATTAGAGGACTCTCGCGGTGGCCAGCGCTATCTAGTTGAGCAGCTGTTGAACCACCGCGACGTGAACGGACGTCGGACGAGTTATCTCGTCCGGTGGCGCGGTTATCCCCCGTCCTGGGATTCTTGGGAGCCCCGCTCCCAACTGATGATCGACGTACTGGGTCTGGTTGAGCAGTACGACGCGGCACATCCTGTGCCGCAGAAGGACCGCCGGAGAAAGTCTTCCCGGCACGGTCATAAAGGGATTTCAGGTTGTCAATCCCTTCGTACATCTCAGTAGAGACACGTACGCGCCACCACGGGCTGGTAAGGAGGTAAGCCTCCTTAGGTGCTCGTGCAGAGTTGTTCACACAACATGGGCACGAGTCTCCCCAAGAGAGGCAGGGTAATCCTTTCTCCCTTGACAGACGATGCAGCTTGTAGCGTGCACCTGTCGGGGTTCGCTTTTCAAACTTATTACGAGCTTTGATAAGTTTGTCGTGTCAAGCGTCACGACCTACATCCTCAAGGTTATGGATGTAGGCGTTCCACGCTTGAAGTAGTGAGGGACCATCACGTTTGTGGTTCCCACTGTAATCTCGATGTCTAAAGAAAGCATCGATGAAGAATTCATGTTCAGCGCGACATTTTTTCGCGCTGGGGTCAAGGTGATGGATCCTTGACGAATTAAACAACCGTGTTCGATAACGATCACTCGTCGTCGCCGACAAGTGATCCATGACGGATTTTGGAGGCATCCATGCCTTCTTTTCTGGAGCGAGACGCAAGACATTGCGGTCCCGCTCTTCCTGCGACTTGCCGACAGAAGTACTGGCACCTCGCTGTGAAGTGGTGTCGATAGGAGAACCGACACCACTATTAGCGCCCGAGTCTCGCGACCTCGAGCACCTTCGCTTCGGCGATGGTTCATCTGATTCATCAGATGAACCAAAGATGCTGCGACGCAAAGCATCGTCCATGCCACGCTTGGCAGGCGGCTTAGATTCAATCGCCGTCGATACGGATCCGTCATCCGTATCAGGAGAGCATGAGACACCGAGCTCATACTCGGTGAAGACATGAGTGTCTTCATGACTAGCGCCTGCATCACCAAGTGACACAGGCTGAGTCGCTTCAGCAACCGATGAGGCATCAGTTGCTGTGGTTTCTGCTTCGGCGTCCGCACAGAGACGTGCGGACGCGCTCTCGGCGGCCTTGCTCGCGCATCGCATGGGCTTGTTAACCATGCGATGCGATGTTGGGAAGTGGACTCGGACCAACAAGTGCAAACCCTGTCCCAAATGATTTTGGACGAGTATCCATTTAGTCAATCAGTCACTAAAGTGACTGATGGTTAGGGGGGGGGTGATGTAACGGGGTGAATCGTTACATAACAATTTATAAGAAATTGCTAATAGAATATAACTATAAGAGTTATATTCTCAGAATATTGTCATAAGGACAAATATTCTGTAGCACTTACGAGTAGTTCCTGATTGGTTGATATAGGCCATTATATCAACCAACGAAGACGCGCCACGACAGACGCACGCAATGAGTGGTGAGCAGATAACTGATTTACACATTTGTATCTAGACATAGTTAGATGAAGGTAAAGTGTGGCTTATTAACAGACATTAACTAAGATAAATACAGTTCTACTTTTTACTCTAACCAAGTACTCGCTTCTTCTTACCGTCTTCCTCTGCACGTACGAGTGTACGTGAAGTTACGAGGCACCGCCTTATTCTGTCATCAGAAAAAGTAGCTTGTACTGTCACCAGTACAAGCTTCAGGGTGCCCCGTTACAATTAGCCTATCTCCGGCGCCCTGTAATCGAACCCACACCGGGTAATGATCCGGGTACCTCCCGGTCCCAGTTTCAATGGTCTACCGCTCGGCCACTGGGGTCGGTTCGGCATCCAATCTTGAGAACACTAACTAATAGCTTCACCCTCTGGGCTTGCAACAACCTTGCACACACTCTAGTAGTGTAGCGGATCTACATTACAGCTCTTAAGTCAGAGGAAGACTTATCGCTCAACGAGCAACTTAGTTCTAAAGAACTAGACTTAATGAGTCAACAAGCGTAAATCGTATGGTACATGTTCCAGGGGAACAAACGATTCAGTGGATCGACAGCACTTAGTACTCAAGAGTAACTAGCTACCTCAAGGAGGTGTTGCTAACTACTAGTGATCAGTGATCAGCGACCAAAGACGCCTCGCAAGGCACATGTCTTTGAGATCGAAAGGGGGACTGTTTTTTTTACATTTAAACTATAGAATTTTTTAATCCTAATTTAGACACTTATGTCCAGATCTTGGTACAACTAAGATCTCTCCTATCTGGTGGCTGACACCAGTCATCCCCTATAAGCCGATAAGATATTCTACATCTCTTTCATTGGGATACTATTCGTGTGTCTAAGACACAGGGTACCAGGTACCTAACTACGTAGAACCCCTCTACAAATAGCTTCACCCTTCGGGCTCACAATCACTGTTTTCTGCCACGGCTTACTCCTTTCCTGTCATACCATGGGTCATGAATCTAACTACTCAAACGAAGTAACTGGTGACGGCGTGGAGTTGCCACTACGGAATGTTAATTATGAGGCAGTTGCTGCATCTGCAGCGCGCGTGGATTTCGCTGTTGACGCCCGTGAACGTGAAGACAACTAGTTCAACTAAAAAGCACTCGCCGTTTTGAAGGTCTATAAGACAGTCTGAGAGACTCGAATTAGACGCGACAAAGAAGAGCACATGCAAGGTGACACTGAAACTGGCAAGTTATGCAATGAGCTCGGACGAAGTTTATGGGCGTCATGTATGAGGATTGATGCGCCATGGATCACACGCGGCCGATGCGCGGGCGAGGCCTACAAAAGTCCCGTATCACCGTACTTTGTACACCCAGCGTACACCCTAGTTATGGTGTGACAAGGGATACTCATGTTGAGCAAGGCGCGGGTAGTATCTATGAATTCATGCCACCTCAAATACCACAGCCTCAATGTTTTCAGATGTCGATGCATCATCATTGTCAGCAGCAGCATGTACTGCAGCTTCTTGATTTGGGTCAGTACCCATCTTGTTTACCATATACAATTCAGCGAAAGCTACTGGTAGCCACGTGTTTGACGAAAAAGCTGTACCAAGGCCTTATGTCTAGGTTCTAAACCGTGTGGGGGGGGTCCAGCAGGACAATTTGGAACAGCTCGCGTGTTTTTTGTAGTAGAGTGAATGATTAAAGCATGCTTCCTGAGATGCTATCTTAGTGCAACGGACAAACGGTACTGTAACGGGTTTGGCTGGACCGGAACCGACGAATATCCGCACCAAACCCGAATCCCGTGCCAACTGTTTCGAGGGATTACATCAACTAGAAAAATATTACTCGATCCATTCGTGAAGAGTAGAATAAGGGAACTGTTCATCTCCCCTCAGTTTTCTGGTAAAATCGCCTAAGCTTGGTATAGCTCTACACGATTGGATAATTTATAGACATGCCCTGAGGGTATTATATCACCGTAGCCAGTTTTTAAAAATCTATTTGACTTAATTTGGTAAAGTTCGAAATCATTTTTATGTGCTCTTGGGCGTAATATTCTGTCAAGCTTTGCCTGAAACGTTCGCGAACTCGAAGCTATTAAGTCCGCAGGTGGTCTTAATCAACCATTATATTTTTAAAAGTCGACGCCTCTAAAACAACAAGTAGTCTCTATTACGCTTACACGATAAGATTTCTGCACTCGTAAGTATTAATACTATACATTTATGCATTATTCATTTTAGCGTATTCAAATCGTTCGTGTCGCATGCATGCGACGCTTGTGTAATTGTTTTTCCAATTTGTTACTGTGTAGATTACTATCTGCCTGTGCTGTTCAGGATCTCTTGATGCAATGTAGGTACGCATAAGAGCATGCAGGGGGATATAAAGATAGTCGTGCATAGTGAGCTTTCGACAAGCGCGCATGCGTAGCAAAAACAGATGCTCCTGTTAGTACGAAGATGTTAAGGAACTACAACAAGTGATACTGCTTTGCGATAGTCCAGTTGCTGGTATTGTCAATGAAGCCAAGGAAACTGTATGATCGTGTAAGCAAGGGTCTATTTTAGTAACGCACGAGTGTTAGTGCCTACAAAGTTAATAGACTCGTAATGAGGAATGCAGTCAAACTTATTTTGACCTATAAACAGGTTCTGCTAAGTTCTATAGGTGTTGGTCCCATTGATTTTTTTCACATCGTCGTGCATTGACCCACCCTCATGCAACGGCCGCATCTTCTTCGCAATTTCCAGAGGATTTATTGCATCAGTGTTGCTAAACGTTGCTTGCTTTAGTTTGACATGGTGGCTGTACACTCACTCACTTACTCACCAACATGAAAAACCCAATAAGATCACTTACTGTGGCTAAAACGCCAACAGAGACGTCTACCACACGACTTTTTTGCACAAAAAGGTTTCAATTGTATATAATTACAACATAAACTGACCGAATCACAACTGATAGTGGTGTCGTTCTCTATATTTGTAGCCTATAAATTAGCCAATCATGTAGCGCTGTATCAAACTGAGCTTTTTACCAGAAAACTGAGAAGATATTAACGGTTCTAATAAACAATAGATATTGCAGGTTTTAAGTGGGTGGATCCCGAGCGTATAACAGGGTTTCGTGCCTATTACCGCACAGCTCACTTGGGAATACCGGTTGCAAAAGATGATCGTCTTCTGATGTAAAGCCAACAAGAAGACAAGTCATCAATCATGGGATTGGATTTCTAGCGCGTGTTTAAACACCTCTTTGTCAAGAGAGAGATGAGAGTTCTCATGGTCGATCTAGACGCTTCCTACTGACCACGATGTTGTACAAGCCTTAGCTGTGAGAAATAGTCACGACCATCTTAATTATCGGTACGTGAAAAAAATTCGATAGCTGCATTCCGCAAGATACAAGGATATAAATTCTTGCCTTGGTGCTTAATTATTATGTTTTGTGTTTCTGATGGAGGAAAGCAGTCTAACTGAATCTGTGGCTCTGACTAGGTGGTAGGATTTAACGTCGTGAAGGCTGAGTACAAGGCCATCATATTAAGATGTAAGAAGTCGGTGAGCAGGGCATGAAACGTCCACTGTGGCGTTCCTACTGCCAGAACACACAGAGCTTGATCCTAGCGGGTCACACAAACTGTCGCGATCGTGTGGATACTGAACGAGGACGAGCTTCACCGCATGCTGAACAAGGATGATCTGTAGGTCGCAATGCTGCTAATGGCGTTTCTAGACAAGCAGTGTCTCCCACACGCCACGAGCACGGCTGTAGTGACGGACAGGATGGGTGCACGGTCTGTGCAATCGCCAGTAGTTTATCCAGGTGTAATGTGCCGCAATAGGTGGTAGGTGTTTGAAGGTCTGGACTGGATTTTGTCCTCTCTGCAGGAGGTACAGCTTGTAACGGGGCACCCTGAAGCTTGTAATGGTGACAGTACAAGCTACTTATTCTGATGACAGAATAAGGCGGTGCCTCGTAACTTCACGTACACTCGTACGTGCAGAGGAAGACGGTAAGAAGAAGCGAGTACTTGGTTAGAGTAAAAAGTAGAACTGTATTTATCTTAGTTAATGTCTGTTAATAAGCCACACTTTACCTTCATCTAACTATGTCTAGATACAAATGTGTAAATCAACTATCTGCTCACCACTCATTGCGTGCGTCTGTCGTGGCGCGTCTTCGTTGGTTGGTATAATGGCCTATATCTGCCAAATTAGGAACTACTCGTAAGTGCTGCAGAATATTTGTCCTTATGACAATATTCTGAGAATATAACTCTTATAGTTATATTCTATTAGCAATTTCTTATAAATTGTTATGTAACGATTCACCCCGTTACATCACCCCCCCCCTAACCATCAGTCACTTTAGTGACTGATTGACTAAATGGATACTCGTCCAAAATCATTTGGGACAGGGTTTGCACTTGTTGGTCCGAGTCCACTTCCCAACATCGCATCGCATGGTTAACAAGCCCATGCGATGCGCGAGCAAGGCCGCCGAGAGCGCGTCCGCACGTCTCTGTGCGGACGCCGAAGCAGAAACAACAGCAACTGATGTCTCATCGGTTGCTGAAGCGACCCAGCCTGTGTCACTTGGTGATGCAGGCGCTGGTCATGAAGACACTCATGTCTTCACCGAGTATGAGCTCGGTGTCTCATGCTCTCCTGATACGGATGACGGATCCGTATCGACGGCGATTGAATCTAAGCCGCCTGCCAAGCGTGGCATGGACGATGCTTTGCGTCGCAGCATCTTTGGTTCATCTGATGAATCAGATGAACCATCGCCGAAGCGAAGGTGCTCGAGGTCGCGAGACTCGGGCGCTAATAGTGGTGTCGGTTCTCCTATGGACACCACTTCACAGCGAGGTGCCAGTACTTCTGTCGGCACGTCGCAGGAAGAGCGGGACCGCAATGTCTTGCGTCTCGCTCCAGAAAAGAAGGCATGGATGCCTCCAAAATCCGTCATGGATCACTTGTCGGCGACGACGAGTGATCGTTATCGAACACGGTTGTTCGATTCGTCAAGGATCCATCACCTTGACCCCAGCGCGAAAAAATGTCGCGCTGAACATGAATTCTTCATCGATGCTTTCTTTAGACATCGAGATTACAGTGGGAACCACAAACGTGATGGTCCCTCACTACTTCAAGCGTGGAACGCCTACATCCATAACCTTGAGGATGTAGGTCGTGACGCTTGACACGACAAACTTATCAAAGCTCGTAATAAGTTTGAAAAGCGAACCCCGACAGGTGCACGCTACAAGCTGCATCGTCTGTCAAGGGAGAAAGGATTACCCTGCCTCTCTTGGGGAGACTCGTGCCCATGTTGTGTGAACAACTCTGCACGAGCACCTAAGGAGGCTTACCTCCTTACCAGCCCGTGGTGGCGCGTACGTGTCTCTACTGAGATGTACGAAGGGATTGACAACCTGAAATCCCTTTATGACCGTGCCGGGAAGACTTTCTCCGGCGGTCCTTCTGCGGCACAGGATGTGCCGCGTCGTACTGCTCAACCAGACCCAGTACGTCGATCATCAGTTGGGAGCGGGGCTCCCAAGAATCCCAGGACGGGGGATAACCGCGCCACCGGACGAGATAACTCGTCCGACGTCCGTTCACGTCGCGGTGGTTCAACAGCTGCTCAACTAGATAGCGCTGGCCACCGCGAGAGTCCTCTAATGGAGGTGGAGGAGGAGGAAAGACGCTCTCCACACGATCATGTGGATCGGTGTGTTCCCGAGAGCTTCTTTGATCGCGTAACGCAAGGGTTACGCGACGATCTCGAGCATGAGCGGAATAGGCGTCTCCAAATGGCGGATACTGCCTTGAAGCATCGAGCTGAGTTTGCCTTTGCTCAGATTGAGAACGAGAGATCTCTGACATCTCTTCGTGACGAGCTAAGGGTAGCTCGTGGGATTGTTGATCGGTCTCGGGATGAGATAGCTGCTCTTCAGATCCTTGTTGATGCCCACCATCGGGAGCACAAGGCTCTCTGCGAGATGATTGAGCGCAAGGGCGTTCTTCATCAGAAGAAGCAGCGTACTGATGGTGCGGCTTAAGCCGACCAACGTAAAACGTGGGATGCGTTCGCATCTTACGTGGTAACTCGATCGTGT